TGACGAAATCACCAAATGGAATCTGCAATTCAAAAGCAGTAAAGAAAAACATTTCATTGCACGCACGCACGCACGCACACAGAAATCTTTAAAGGCACATGAAATCTTTAAAACCAACAGCCGACTCACAAAAAAAGAACTGAGCCCGGATTTGGGGTCCTCTGGGAGAGCGCAGAAAACCAAAAAAAAAAACTTTTTTTTTGTTGTTTTTTTTGCACGCCCGGGTACCCCAGGCGTCACGCCCAGGTGCCCGGCCGGGCATGAGAATCTTTCTAGGTGTAAAGTTTATTTAATTCTTGTAGTCAGCAATTTGCAATACTGACTTCCCAGGTGAGGTTTTCTTACCATCTCTCAAGCAAGGATGGAAGAGAAAAGAAAGAAAGGAAGAAAGGACAGAAGAACCTCACTCATGGCCTCTGCGAACATAGAAAAAGACCTCCCTCATATATACTAGAAGTTTTTTGGGGGGGAGCGGGGTCGAGGCGGGAAGAAGGGGTCTTGTCGCCATCCCCCTTGCTCGTTCAAGTCAAGAAGAAGCAGCAGTAAATTGGTGGGGCTGGGGAAGAAACCCATGCAGTTTGTCGACTTACCAATGCAAAACAATCTGCAGAAGGTAAGTACGTCACTCGTGACAGAATCACGGAAAAGCATGCCTTGAAGTTTTCCAGTGAGAAGAACTCCGGTGGAAAGACCTGCAAATTTCCAATTTTCATTGACCAGCAGCATATGCTTATCATCATCATCATCATCATCATCATCATTTGTACAAAGTTACTAGAAAAGTAGTACAAATGAATGTGAGCAATCAACCCAATTGCCATCATCATCGTCGCCGTCGCCATCATCTTCATCGTCGTCATCTTCATCGTCTTCCCATCCCACATCTTTTCATCGTCGTCATCATCATCATCATCATCATCATCATCGTCATCGTCATCGTCATGGTTATCGCCGCCGTCGTCGTCATCATCATCATTGCCGATGCCGTCATCGTCATCATCACCACCATCAGCAGCAGCAGCACCAGCAGCCACCGTCAGAGCTTTGCAAGGAGCTGTGTACATCATTCACTTTCACACAATTTGGATGTCATAAGGGGGGAATCATCTTCCCTCTGAGGCTTTTCTTCCCGACGCAGATCTCTGCTGCGTCCCAAATACAAAACGGACCAGTGCAGGCACAAAATACATTGTTTTCTGTTCCCCTGGCACCGCGATCCTGTTCCTTCCGGTAGGCCGAGCCACTGTTAGCGAGGGGATATTCCACCATGGGATCCCAAAAAACTTTGGGCACAATGGGACAAGTTTTCCTGAGACTCCATTTTCCATTTTTTCGACCTCGTTCTGACGAGTACATTAAGATGCACAGCAAGTGCATTGAGGTATGCAGCAGGACCAGAGGTGAATGGTGTTCACCTTCAACACGCATGCTCCCTCTGCACATCCACTCAATCCACAAGTTATAGATCAAAAGAACATAACATGCACAGGAACAGGAGGCCATGCAGAAGGACTCAGAACAGGCAACAATTCGTAAGAAAGAAACAAGGGTGACCACAAGTCGGTGCCGGGCTGAGCAGTGACACCCGCCTGGCCTGCATTGCACAGCGTTGGCAGGGCCATTCATGATCATGCCAAACTGGGATCATCACCGTTCATTCAACACAGAAATAAAGATTCTGCCTGATCTGTCAATGCCCCCTAAACTGTGCATGCACATGCCACATGCATGTGCCCCCTAAACTGTGCATGCATGTGCATGCAAGTGGCACATGCATGAACATGCACGTGGAAAATGCATGTGCATGCATGTGGACACTTTCATATGGCACGTGCATGAACGCACGTACACGTGTGTGTCCGTGTGTGCGTGATGTGTCCTTACGTAGCTATAATGTGTACTAGATGACCCGTTGCGGCTTCGCCCGCAAAAACAGAAAAGGAAAAAAAGCACAAAAGAAAGACAAAGCATAAGGAACTCCCCTATCATATTCCGCCGAGCCTTTTTTTCCCTTTATCTTTGAGTGTTTTGTTTGGGGAGCCATTACCTTCGCAGCATCGTTTTTGTTTTGTGATGTGCAAAAACTCCTCCACTTTTYTGAGAAAATCCTGTCCATTGTCCCGTTGATGTTTTTGCAGCTAAAGATTCAGATTCAGACTTTGTTTGCTGTGTTCTCTGGATATGTTTGTGATCAACCCATCTTGCATGTATGCATGCCCCGTGCTTACTT